CAGTAAGACCAACCCTGTCCTGCCCCCGTCAGAAAAAATAAGTAATTGAACAATGGGTATACCATAAGTAATATACAATGATGAACTTACACGCAGCCACTTCTCTTGCCGAAGATCTTGGTATTGATCTTATAGACATCTATGGAATCCATAAATGGATCCAAATGTGGGCATCGCCCCTCAACGACCCGGACATAGTATGAGAGATGGTCAGAAACCTTCCGGTCAAAGAATTCGGAAAGCATCTCAAGATAAATAGACTCTGGTACAACTGTTGTAAAGCCGAGTTGTGAAAGCGGCGTGAGAAAGCCGAGAAGGCATACGACAGGGCAGTAGAAAAGAAGGAAAAAGCGGGAGATGATCTTGGTCAATCATTTGAGGAGGAGGGTATTAGAAATCATGAACTTCATGAGCTTAATTGGAAGGCATATCAAAAGGCTTGTAAAGAGTTATCGGAAGCTAGAAAAGAGCATTGTATGGTAAAGTGGACTGTTGAGCGGTGTGGATTTCACTAGATATATATGGATTGAAAAAGGGGAAGGGAAGATTTAGAGTAGTCATAAAGGTTCGTGGTTTATAGTTTTTTTTTACCCCTAGAAGATAACCAGATATAACCGGAGGACTGCAGAACCGCAGGACCACAGGACTACAGGAGGGTAACCTGGTAGGAGTGCAGATCTTTGGAAAAAATATTCGGCAATTGAAGATTAGGTAACTATAAATTAGTACTCGATTTGATAGAACAAAAAATGACTGCCCAAACTAGCACTCAAGCTCAAGTTATCCCCAAGTTCAGTGAACAGAAGAAGGCTTTTAGTATTAATGAGCTTAAATGGCTCATTAACGCTGCAAAGAATATGAGGGATCTCAATCAAGCTAAAGGTTATCTTTGCAGTTACTTTATCCCCTGCTCCAACCCGCATGGAGTCTTCATGTGGCAGTCAGAAATCAAAAACCTCGAGCACATCCCTGATAAAAATATTAATAAACTTATCCGTCCAATTACCAAAGTCTTTTACACACAATCTGAACAGGGTCCTTCACAAAAGGTTGAATTTAATATCAACAAATGGTTTATAATCGAATATAGTACTGTATGTGTAGCTAGCTACCCGTGACCCTCAAAAATCCCGTATCTTTAAACTAGGTGGCCAACTTTATCTCAATATCTTCCCAGGATTCCTCCATATCCTACGTCCGATATCCACTTTTGAATCTACAACCCACCTCACGGTTAAATTTATCTTCTCCCACATTCAGGATATCTGGTATTCAGGCGATTGGAATCTTACTGAGTATATCATAAAGTGGTTGGCCGGTGTGGCAGCTGGAAGGAAAATGTATTCGATTCTCTAACTGAAATCTGGACAGGGTTGGGGTAAGAGTATTATAACAGATTTCATTCAACGTAGTGTTTTAGGTACTCAACTTGTTTATAAGACCAGCGATCCTCAAACGATTCTTGGAAGTTTCAATGGGCAATTACAGGGTAAGGTTCTTCTCCTCCTAGAGGAAATGCCTACAGAAAAAAGCCAGTGGAATAATCTGTATCGATCATTGAAGGATAAAGTAACAGGCGACATAATGGAAATCCATGAAAAATACAAGACGCCAATACATTACAAAAACTTTATATCCACCATTGTACTCACCAATGAAAATGCTCTCAGAGTGGAGAATGATGATAGGCGCACAGTATTCTTGGATATGTCACCATCCCGCAAGGGAGACCTCAACTACTTTAAGAAACTCAGTGACGCTATGAAATACCCAGGCGCCAGTGAGGCATTCTATGCTTACTTGAAAGCCATTGCAGACGCTTACCCGCCAGACTTCAATGGGAATCCACCACCTATGACAACATCTAAGCAGGATCACATCATATCAACTCTCCCACCCCTATTTCAATTCATAAAGGACACTTACATCATAGTAAAAAATCATATAACAGAACTACCTGTTAAAGAATTTTATAGGGTATATACTTCATACTGTGAAACTAATTGCATAAAACCAATATCAAAGATAAACGCTTCTAGAATCCTATCAAATGAGTTGGTATAAATAGCAGAAAAATACATGTAGGTAAGGCAACACCATGAGTTTACAGCATATCCAGGGAGGACCTTTACAAGAAGTTTCTCAGCAAAAACTGGATACATGAAACAGATGAAATCGATATAGAAGGAATTGATATAGATATTCCTGAGAAGCCTGCATCTGATCCCAAAGCCTTAGAGAAGTTCTTGGCAAATATATATAGCATTCCTGCTAATAATCCATAAGACGTACAAGAGAAACCTGCTGAGGAAAAACCCGCTCCTGTCGAGAAAAAGCCTACTGAAGAGAAATCTGCACTTGTAGTTCCCAAAAAGACTTTACCACCAGTACCACCCAAACCCGATTCCTTGAAGGTAAAACCCGCACCTGTCATCAATGAGGATCCTATTCCTGAAGAATCTCCAGCTCCTATAGAGTCAGATACTGATGAAATTATAGACAGTTTCTCAGACTGTTATCTATCTGATGAGGAACCTGATCAAGAAAATGAGCCGCCTGCTAAGGAACCTGCATTTAAAGCTGATGATGACTACGACGTTTTAGATGACTTGCTATCTGACTCAAATCTTACAACTGTAAACCCAACTCCTGAGCAACAACCCAAGTCTCCTGCAGAATCTTCTGCAAAATCCGAATCTGTTGCAGATTTCAAATCTTCTACAGAACCTGTAGTAGAACTGACTCTCAAAGAGCAACCTATCCCAGAACCTGACACAGAACTAGAAGTTGACCGGGACCCTGAACCAAAGGAAGGTACTCAAGCACACTGGGCTTAGCATAAAAGACACCAATGGGATCGTAAGCCATAGGTCAAAAATTCAAAGGACCAGGTCTTTAATGATCTCTATAATACAGGTAAGGAATTATGGGCCAAATACCAAGACACATCAGACGAATATGATTGGGACATGCTTGTATTTGAAGTAGAGGAATGACCCACAACGCGTATTGAGGACAAGTACCAGTACTAATTTAGGGAGGTAGTAGACCACTTCAAGGACTGGATAGAATATAATGGGACTTACCTAAAACATCCAGTCATAAAGAGCTTGCAGATCTAATAAGAGCATATAAGGAGGATCATAATGCCGAGATTATTCCTACCACCTCCGGTTATGAAACTATAAAGATGAATAAGAGTAAAGCACGAGAAATACCAGAGGAGCGTCCAAAGACCGAGATGGAACACCAGTGGAAGGCCGCTAATGGATTTGTAAACGAGCTGGATATTGATGAGGCCTGTGATATGATTGACTCCTTTTAATAAGATAAGCGCCTCTTAGTTATCTTATATTTTTTATATAAAAAACCTATATTACAATTGAATACAATTCATAGTTATATCAAATGGCCTATTCAAAAATGGCACGTGCTTTACCTACAAGACCAGATATCAAAAAACTACAGTATTCAGGCGCAAGATTTTCTAGAGGAGCAATAGCAAGACTTGGACAGCAACTCCAATCCCGGTATCCAACTCATAAATTTCAGATCCTGCTTCCCTATGAAAACTGGAAACCTGGTGGATGGACATCAGGAAACCAACCAGCCAGCTTCTTCTCACTCTTGGACCACTATGATGAAGCACAACTACCGGATAATGCAGATCCTGATTACTTTGAACGATTCATAATTTATGTGAGAGATGCTCCACCGGTTGCAGGGGGATGCAATGGGGAGCTAAATGATTGCCTGTATGAATGCCTGAAGCATATCTATGGTATATTCTCTAAAATACCCAAGACTATAAAAAAGCCTGAGTATATCAAAAAGGCATTAGGTCTCAATCGTGATGCTCCAGTTCCAGTCTCATATATGGATAAGGTTGAACAACTTGCAGGAAGCCTTGCACTTAATATTGTAGGGGATTCCACTTGAATTTCCAAGAGCAAATCTGACAGACGTGCAACCCTTATTTTGTCTGAAGGCCACTACTCTCTTGCACTGAATCCCGGAAGACTCCACCCTAGCAAATTAGATAGAAAACAAAAGTCTCCCTTTGTTTATCGTGAAGATGGGGTTAATAATATAGTAACAATATACAATGGTAAGACAGTTAAGTCTCTTTAATACAGTTGGACAGTTTCAGAAAGGTAAGAACTCTGATAGTTACTCCTTCATCCCTATCGAGAAGAATTGTAAAACTGGAATATATGAAACACTTGAGAAAACATACCAGAGGATCCATGAAGAGCGGGATTCCTTCCTACAGGCTACAAAGAAGTTTGGTCTAGGAATCGACTTATCTTACCACAACTGGTCGTACAAGAGAACTGCACTCTGGCTTTTTGAACGGTTTAGTGTAGGGGTTCCAGCCAATGATCCTCTTGACCCTATAGAAGCAGAGTGGATAAATGATGCTATGATAGGAGGTCTTATCTGGGCAGACAATGAATGGAAGGGCTATGGAAGGCAATACGAAGTGACAAGTTTGTATCCAAGTATTCAGCAATCAAATGCAAACTTTCCAATCCGACAAGGTAAGTTTCAAATACTCAAAGACTTTGTAGACCACAGAGGTTATGCCTTGTATGGATTATTTCGTGCTAGCTCACAGGGAGCGCCCAAGGGCAAGGTAAGTGGTAATGACATTCTCTTCCGACAGAATAAGAGGGGAGTCTATACATTCATTGACTTACAACGAGCAAAGAAACTTGGACTCGATATACAGTTAATCCAGGATGGAAAGCCAAATGCCTTGATATATGACAGAGAAGCAAGAATTCCTGGGACTGTAATATTTGGTGAGTATGTCAACTTTCTCTTCAATATAAAGAACCAGGGTGGCATGGCTAGTTGTGTTGCAAAGAGAGTTCTCAATACATTATGGGGAGCACTCTGCCAAAGGAAACGCAATTACAAGACACTCACCACAGATCAAACAGATCCATTCAAGTTTCCAGAAGGCCACACACTTGACTCAATCGTACCAGTAGGATCTGACCAGTGGCGATTCCAGTTCACAAACCCAGGTAGTCCCTTCAAGGATAAGTATCCTAGGATCGCTCCATTCTTATTAGCACATGGACGGAAGACGACTTCAGAGTTATTAGAACCATATAAGGATAAAGTACGACGCATCCATACAGATGGATTTATTCTAGAGAAACAGCCGAGTAGTCCTACATTTATCACTTGTCCAGAAAATGCATCCAAAGCATTGAAAGCTCTCAAGTTTGAAAACGCAGGATACTGCCATATGAAAAATGCAAACAAGGTTATCTGGACATGATTGCCAAGAATGCGGTTGGGTTTACAGTAGGTATATATATTTTTTCTTGCTTGAATGTAAAGTCAATTTGAAGATTCCTATTTATTACAAAGTACAAAAAAGTATAAGGAATCATGTTAACATATACCGAATTAGCAAGCATTATTAACAGCACTGACAGAATTAGTGATAAAGTTATTTATGATGCATCAAACAATCAGTTAAAAATTGTCTCTGATGAAACTGTCCTCAAGATTATCCGTGCATTGAAATACACTATAGTAGTCGCATTAGTATCTGGGTTTAGCAAAACCAGCTACCTTGTCCAGGATCATGTGAAGTATATCAAGAGAATCCAGACAGCAAAGTCTCCTGTCTCATATGTGAAGTTCGTGGCCAGAAAACTCTTCCCAGATAATGCAGCATATACTGCTAAGATAGCAAAGATTCGTGAATCATACAAGAATAAACAAGCTCTTCTAGACAAACTTGAGGCCCTCTTCGAGTTGTATTATAATGTGACTAAGGACTCATCAACAGGTCCCCCAAAGCGAGCTGTCACTATGAATGAGGCTGAAAAAACCTTAGCAGAACTTCTTGCATAAACGGCTCCTGTATGAATTTAGTTTATATTTTTTATCCATGTGTAATGGGCATACAGTAATTGAAGATAGCTATAGTATAAGTAACATAACATCATGTTGGACCGATTACCAGTAGAAATAGTCGAACGCATTGTCACAAAGATCCCGGATACTGACCTTATTGCAGCAAGTAAAGTAGATAGTGTGTGGTGGCAGGAGGTTCGTCAAGAAGCATATAAAAGATGGAAAAATTACGCTACTACAATTGGGCATGTCCAAGCTCTTGGAAAGCCGTTTGAAAAAGGGAATATTGACTGGATAACATTTGAAGATGTAAATGACTTCTATAAAAGATGGATAGACCGCCTTACCGAGGATCAGCTTTATATTATGGAGAAAATGCTTAGGAATGGGATGGTCGTGGACCCCAAAAGAGGGAAACCATAGAGTATGCATTAAGTGAACAAAGATGGGAAGGCGATCCTTGGGGACTGGGAGTGAAATGAATAGACTCAACAGGAGTAGCTTATTTATCGGGTATCCTCATATTTCTCGACAAGGACTGATGACCATGTAACCTCGTCATCAGGTATTCTTGTATTTTTTGATAAGGATTGATGATCGTACTTTCTCCCCCGTTGGGCTCTGCCCATTTTTTCCCATGAAGTTATGGATGAAAAATATGAGGATTTTTTGCCTTGAGTGATAGTAAAAGGACTTTTCGACGTTATATGAAGTTATTACCGAGGTCTTTAGTTTCGCCTGAACTCCTTATGGCTTATATTGAGTTAGGACCGTTATCATGAGTCTTGGAGTTACCAATAATACTGTAAGATGGCAGTTCCATACGAACGTTCCCCTGGGCTTTCTGAAAGGTTGAAAAGTAGTACGTCTTGGTTCCTACGCCTTTAAAGTCTAACTGGCCAAGTGGTTCGCAGGCCGGACCGGTATTTCTTGGAAGGAGCTCCTGACCAACGTATTTCTTGCTAGTTGATGTTGTTAACTGGGGAGTTAGTCTTCTAAAATAAGGAGACGGAGTTGAGGTGTATGT